TTTTTGTAAAATGGAGACAATCAATCGAGTAAGTAAGTAAGTAAGTAAGTAAGTAACTCACGGTTCCATCCGGGCACTTTAAATATACGACCCACTGCAGATACGTACTCAAACTCGTACATGTAAACGTTTGAGTTATTATTCTCCAGATACCAGTTAGCTTCAGTCGCTATAAAACTCGTGAAACCAGCTCCGGTAAATATCTAGAATTAATGACCTAATTTAGTAGCGATTATGAAAAAGTCACAAATGATTTGGTCATAAGTGGTTGTCATATTTGTCATTGTTGTCATGAATTTGTCATAATTGTCACAAATACGTCGTGAATTAATCGCAAACTGACATTACTCTTGGTTTGAAGCCATGCAATGTGGTCATTATCTGTGATATCGTGTGGCTGATAGATGGCCAATAGAAAGTCCAAAACGAATTCCTTTACTGGTCCGAAATATGACCCGTAAACGTCAAAAAATTGTTCTAGAGAGTGTTTGCTGTAGTGATCTACAGTGGTCAGACCTGCGGCCATCGATGAGAGGTCTGAAATTTGATCGCTATTGATTGATTGTAGCGCGATGATCAGCGGTTTTCTTTCTCTGATCTGATTCTTGATCAGTTAATTGACCTGTTTGTCTGCTGATTGATCCAGTGGCTTGAGGCTGGCTGGTTATAGTGATCCTATTTGAGGTGTGTATCAATTCCGGTAATTCAGTTTCATTTAATCCTATCAGAGGCAGTTTCCTTCTTCGAATTAAAGCTGAATAGGTAGATTTTTTGCCCGAAATTTGACTTGACCGAAGAGAAATTGTATTGAACTCACCCCAGAATGACCATTCGTCCTTGCACGTTCCCAAAATGATGGGAATATTCGGTCGTTTCGAGTGCAGTTGCTCTGGTGTTCCCGGCAGAAAATACCCGTCGACACTCATCTTCCAGCCCAGCAAATCGGTCTGTAAACAGGTTTTTAAGGCTCAAATCAGGTCTCACGGTCAGTTTCGTGGTTAAAATCATTCCAATCGCTATAGGTAAATGGGTAGACACTCAATTTAATTAATTAATGATAATTAATTTAACGATAATTAACCCAAACGAAGAAACCTTTTCAAACGGCAGAAACTGCTCATAGTTAGCTCTCATCATGCAGTCATAGAGTTGTCTGAAATTAATTTAATGATAATTAATTAATTATTGGAGCGTATTGATAATTTAGTATAACGTCGATAATGTGATATAGTAATGATATTGTTGATATATAATGATTTATTGATAATTTTATTGATATTTTAATCATTGAAGTGATCTGATTTGATTTGATTTGATCGGAATTCGATAGATAACTTACGTTAGGCGTTCACCGCTCGGCGGCCAGTCAGTGATATTGCAGACAATTTTAGCTATGTGCTGACTGTTTTTACTTTTACCGAATACACCATTCAAGCATGTCATGATGGTACCGGATTCGAGGATAGCATTTTGAAAGAGATCTGGAATTAGGGTTAGGATTAGGGAATGAATTGGTGAGATTAAGAGATTAGAGAGATCTGAGAGTGTTTGGTGGGGAGAGATTAGGACTGTGAGCTTGGAAAGTGCTCAGATAGACGGGGAATTGTAGGAGATATTTTTGGATTAAAGGGGATTAGTGTTGGTTTCGTGATTGGCTGGCGGATTGGGTGTTTGGTTAGTTGCGGAGTGGCTATTTCGATAGTTTTTTAGTAAGAAAGTAGCGGAATAGGGCCTAGTTTTTGCGTAGAATCGGATGGATCAGGAATTTTTAAAGGATGCGGATGGCGTACGTTGACTTAGAGGTGAGTAGGTGTGCGCTGAGACTGAGGCAGCACCGGCGGATTGACCGAACAGAGTCAAACGTTTCGGGTCGCCACCGAAGTGGTGGATGTGCGCCACGACGAATTTGATGGCCTCAACCTGAAATACCGAGAATCATTGGCTTTGAACCGGAAAAACCGGAAAATTTTGCTTTTGAGCCGGAAAATTTGCCTTTGAATCGGTAAATTTGGAGCAAATCTCGCTAACTTACTTGGTCGAGCATACCCAAATTCGGTGGAAATTCGTCGTTCATGGTGGTGAAAAAACCGAGAGTACCGAGTCGATACTGTATGATCACGACGACCACCCCTCGGGTGACCAGATTCCTCACCACCCCGCCGATACCCCATTGCCGGGCGGATCCGTCCCGCAGAGAGCCTCCGTGTATCCACAGCATCACTGGGAGCTTTTCTTTAGCGTGAATCTGGAATATTTTTTGAAGCTCTGAAATTTGGTACCAAGCTGGAGGTTTTAAACCGGAATTCTTATGGATTTCAAACGAATTTCGCGGAATACCCATCGTAAATTTGAGCACGGGCGATCATGGTTGCGTGGCTCAGTGGTAGTGGTGTAGATTGTTGTGCTGGAGCTCGTTGGATCAATCCCCTTCGGAGCAGTTGGATGGATTAAAATTTATTTTTTTGGAAGAAAACACAAACATTAGGTGAGAAGATGTTCATAACGAGGCAGTCTTCACTCATGGTGGCGTTCGGTGTGGAGCTTAGTTGTGG